TTCTAACTATTCAAAATTTAAAAAATTTGGTTGAAACGGTCTTTCTAACAATTTTAATAATGAAAATATTCGACTTGCAAATTTAAAGCTCCCATAACGCCTAATTGGACACATTTTATCTCGGTTCCTGTCAGCTTTTTCAAAAAGTGATCTACTGATAAAAATTTTTATCATAATGTCTGTAATATTTTATTATTTGACCATTTTTCGATATCTTTCACAGTAACCGAGAGGAATTGGAACAAAGATAACGGTCAAAGACTATCTATTTTATCACTACCGTACTTTCTTTTTGAGCTTAATTATCTCGGTTCCTTCAAAAGATATCAAAAATATGTCAACTGATAAAATGATTGCCATAAAATAACCAATATTTTATCAGTTGAGCACTTTTTGATATCTTTTCTAGAAATCGAGATAGTTGAAATCAAAGTTCAATGTGCTATTTTCCCTTATTTTTTCTTCTCGCCTTCAGTTATATATTCCTACAATAATCTATTTTTTCCAGATGCACGAGACGGGCGGAGGGCGTAACTAAACGAGAAATTGCTGCTACCTGCCGAAGACGTCAGACCCAAGAAGACTGAATTCCAGAAGACGTGACGACGATCAGAGATGAGAGCGGTACGCGATTTTTTCCAATTTTTGGGGTTATAAGGTTGTCTTTCCCAAAAAAAAAAGTTTCCAAAAAAAATGGAAAATGGTTTTTGCTGAAATTCCAAAATGACGTCAATGGGGTTCTCGATATCGTGAGGATTCCAAACTGATTTGCGATTCTGCTTCTTGGGAAAGAAGAGAGTCTTCTGGGTGTGTGTCAAGTGTTTTGGGTTCTTCCCCACTTCTTTTTGTTCTTCCGGTGTGTGACTTTTTCGGGAAACGGAGACTTCCCAGAAGGCGGACGGCACCAAGTGCGCAGAGAGTCTGTCTCTTTAAATTGTATTAGTTTGGTTCGATTTGGTTCTACTTTTCCCCGATTTGGACTTCTTAAATTGAACTTTGTCTTTGTAAAATTGGAGATTTCCGTCTTTATCCATTTCAGCGCATAACTCTGTTCAAACTTAGAATTTCTGTTTGACTTAAAAAGTAAAATGTAGAACACAGCAAGATCCACAAAGTGATATCAAATACCAATATATTCGAATTCTGAATTTCGAGCCAGAGGTCGTGAAACAGGTTGGGGCCAATTGGGTCGACTTCACCCACTCAGCATTTTGGCGGCTTCTGGTCCTAAACTCGAAATGTAAAAATAGTTGAATTACATACCATATTGAAGCTCTTGTAAAGTTCTACATTTTGATATTTATCTTTTATAGAAATTCCAAGTTTCGGCTTAGTTATGCGCCTTTTAAGTTGTCAGGTTTGTTCATCGATTCAACCCTGCCTGAATAAATGTCTTGATCCCCATTTAGATATCTTAAAATCTTTTTTTTTTCATTATTTAACTATTCTTGACGCTTTGATTTTTATCAATTTTTGAAAGAACCAATCGATTTCCGCCGCCTGTCGGCGGCTACAATCTCCTGGTTTCACTAAAAACGTTTGAATCTCCAAATCGGAGAGAATCAGAAGAGGAAGTTTTAGTTGGATTGTGTTGTCAACTTTCATAAACTGGAGTGACAGTCTGCTTATGCGCCTTCGGGGCTAAACCTTCTGGCTCCCGCTTACAACAGCCTAACCGATTGAGTTTGGGCTTGGACAGATAAATCAGAAATGTAGATCAGAAATTTGTCTTAGTTGATACAAGAACTGTTAAAAATTTCCAAATTTGTAGAACTAATAATTTTCCTGAATTCCCGAATATCTTGAAATTTGACAACTTATAATTTTGTCAGAAGTTTCAAAATTCAGGAGTCCTGAATTTTCGGAACTGCGATTCTAGAACTCAACGATTTTTATATTAAAATACTTCATTTCAAAACTCATAATTTCTGAAATTTCGGATTTTCGAGTTTCCGTGTTTCCGACTTTCTGAGATTCTACTTCACAAATTCCCAAAATTAAAAATTCTCGGTTTCTGTGAGAGATACTAAAAAATAGTCAATTGATAGAATTTTTATCATGATGTCAGCAATATTTTATTAGTCAGACATTTTTTTGATATCTCATACTGGAGCCGAGATAAATTGGGTCAAAGTTAAGAGAGTAAAATGTCCAGCGAACAGCCTGCCATTGAACGATTATTATTCGATGTTTTAGATTTTTTTTCTGGAATTCTAATCTTTGTAGTACCTTTGCTCTTTGCACACAAACTCACTCTCAATTCCTCTGACACTTCTCCAATTTCCTTTTATACGTGTGTAGCTGTGCTCTTCTTCTTCTTCTTCTCCTGCTCAAACACATCCCATCGAAATATCCATATTCATAATAGAACTTGTCGTCCCATTTTTCTCTCTCCTTTTCCATCACGTCTTCTGGAGCGACGACAAGTTTTTCCTCACGTCTTCTAAAGATCATCATCATCATCATCGTCTCCAGAAGACGTGTGCAATGACACGTCTTCTTCTGTGGAGAGAGAGCTAATTGGTTCTTTCCTCACCATTTTTTCTGAAGCAAAAAAAATGGAAAAACTTTTTTACTTCACAATTTTTAGTCTTTGGATGATTCGCCGGGGGTCCATATAGGGACTGTTGTATATAAAGAAGGGAAAAAAGGAGAAGCAGGCAGATAATTGAGTAAGAGCCCTTTTTTCAAAATGGCAACAAACAAAATTAATTCCCGTTGCTTTTGAAGTCCAATGGAGCGCATTTACTGTTTTTTGGAATCTTCTTCAACGTCATCTACCTTTGGGAAATTTGGGAAATCCCATTCCACTAGTCCCGCCTTAACCAAATTTTGCTGTTGCCAACAACGTTCTCTTCTTCTCTTATTTGAAATTCACCTTCTTCTTTTTCTTCTTCTTGCCAATTTTCTAGTTTCCCCCCAAAATGTTCTACTTATTTTCTTTTTTCGGCTTCTTGTATAATTAGCTTGGTGTTTCTTTAAAAAAATTCACAATTAGTGTGTTTGAAACATGTTGCGGTTTTAAAAAAGAGCGCATTTTGGAGCACTATGGTTTTGTAGGCAGCGCGACCGCGACGCGTTGTAGTTTTGAAAATTTTGAGGAGACAATTTTTGATAAATAGCCAATTAGCTAAATTTTTGAGCATTTCCTGGCCAAGTTTTTCATTTTTCTAGGCCACCGAAATAAGTTTGATGCAAAATTTCTAGTGTTATCTTCGATCGTATTTATCTCAGTTACTGTAACAGATATTAGAAAATAATCAGTTAAGAAAATGTTAGTGATTATATGACAAACATTTTGTTAGTTGACCACTTTTTGATAACTATTACAGCAACCAAGATGAATTAGATCAAAGTAGGGGGACATTTCTGAGACAGGTTGACCGCCATACTCTCAAGTTTGACCGTAATTATCTCGGTTCCTGCAAAAGGTATCAGAAAGTAGTTAATCAATGAAATATGGATAATTTTATGATAAATTTTTTATTAGTGTACAAAATGTTGATATCGTTCACAGAAAACAAGATAAATCAAGTCAATATAGACGCTTTGTAGGGCAGCACCTCAAGCTAAAGTTGTCCATAGAGAGAACTTTGATTGAGCTAGTTTATCTAGTTTCCCGTAAGGCATATAAAAAAGTAATCTTCCTTATATATAAAACTCTACACGCGTAAAAAAACTAGATTAATTCGCGCCGAAGGCGCACCAGCTTGCTGGTAAACTGATAAAATATTTTCAATATTATGATAAGCATTTTATCAGTTGACCATTTTTCGATATCACAGGGTAACGGCTGCGCATGGTAAATGTCTAGGCGCGCATATAGGATGCTATGTGCACCCATAATAATTCCGTGGGTAGCGCGTGCGCGCTATATGCGTCGTCGCTGGGCACGACTGGTCGCTGGTGGGCGCACCCATATAGCATCCATATAGCATGCACGCTTTTCCCATGAAAACGACAACCCACCAACGACACTCCGCTATTACGCTAGTGCGCGTTGTTTAGCAAAATTTTTCACCGCCGATCTTGATCAATTTTTCGATCATATTGATCATATTTCCTGCTTTCAAAGAACTTCTCACTGTTTTCACATGTAAAAATTATGGCTAACGAAAATAAAACTTATTTTTAGTAAAGAAATAGGTAAAATTTTTTACAAAATCCGGTTTTTCTTGAAATTAGGACTTTTCTGTTTTACTTCGGAATAAGCGGAATAATATATTTTTCAGGTGAAATACAGGTTGGTTGGTAAGTTTTCCGATTATTACGAAGTAAAAGTAGGAAAAAATCCGAGAAACACAAAATTATTTCCGAAACAAAATTATGCGAATTAATGCCAATTTCAAGACTTTGTTGAATTTTTTTCAAGTTTTCTATATCGCAGTTTTGAAGGAAAAATTTATTATGTTATATCATCCAGATATTTTTAACTTCCTGCCATAATTTTTCTTGCTGTGAGAAAATTCTGTGAAAACTGGAAAAATGGTCACTCTGTGAAATCTGAAAGGGAAAATGAACGATATTGAAAGATCTGAACAAAATCACATCTTATTACAACTATAGTTAGATGAATAAATCCATATAAGATACATCCATCGCCAATACGACCTGAAATTGTAGATGAAATATGGGCGCGTCATGCCCGATCTCGATGGCGCGCAAACGGTGTACCTATGTCGTCCATATGAGGCGCCGCGCCAACACATATACCATGCGCAGCCGTTACCCTGTGATCTTTCACAGGAACCGAGATAATTGAGCTCAAAGCTGGAGATCTTCTCTTACTGGGTTTCACAGTATTACGCTTTTGGTAGCTGGATCAAAAATGAAACAGTTTTTTGCCGGGAAATTGGAAAACTTTCTCAGTTTTCTGACATTTTAGACGACCTACCTCTCACCTCCACTTCCAAAAAAAAAAGGAAAATTGCTTTCGAAAAAAAAATTTCAAGAACTCAAAAAAAAGTTGAGTTCCAGAAGTCAGCCAACCTCATTGTATTCCTCTCTATCTCATTCTTTCTGTGTTTTTTTCTTGAGTATATCTGAAAATATATTCTGAATGAATAGAGAGAGAGAGTGAGAGGTCCTGGCCAACACAGAAGCCTTCTCCTCTCTTATTCTGCGTGAATGGATCCGTTGATAGAGAGAAAAAAGAAGCTTCTTTGGGTTAGCAAGAACCAGAGAGAGTGTATGAGACGAAGAGACGCAGACACCTCCTCTTTTTTTTTGTCCCCGCCCCTCTCCGGATCGAGTTCAGCCAAGCAAGCCGTGCTCAACTAATTGCTCTATTTGTGTATGTCTTTTCTATCTCTCTGTCAGTCTGCTCTCTTTCTCTCTTACTATTTTTTTCTACTGAGCCATTTTTTCTGGTGTATTTCTGTTTTTTAACTGTTCGATTTTTTAAAGTCCCGAGTATTTGGGTACTGTAGGCATTTTGAAATTCGAATTTGCAAGATTTTTGGTTCCGTGGGGCGCTATTTAAATTTTTTGAAAATGTTGATTCCTATAAAATGGGGTTTTTTTATTGAAAAAATTGGCAGAGCCTAAATTGCATACTGTTTTAGGCTCCGCCCCTTGAGTCCGCCCACTTTTCCAACGCTTCTTGGTAAATTTTTATAAAAGTTGAGAAATTGAGAAATTGAGAATTTGAGAAATTCAGAAATTCAGAAATTCAGAAATTCAGAAATCTGAAAATCTGAAAATCTGAAAATCTGAAAATCTGAAAATCTGAAAATCTTAAATTCAGAAATCCAGAAATTCAGAAATTCAGAAATTCAGAAAACTTGAATTTTTCAGTGCAATTTTGCAAGTGCGCTTCGCTGAACAAAAATCTTTCAGTTCCATTTTTAAGCTTTTTATACTGTAGATAGTCTAATTGGCGGGAATTCAAATTTAAAATTTCTCATATACCAAACTCTCTTCTCCTACCTCTAACCCCATAAAAATCCAATCTGCCTAAGTCCTAGATATATACCCAGTGTTTTTTTCAGCCAATGACCTAATTCTAAAAAAAACAGAAAATTTATATCTTCAATTTATTTGCTCTATCTCAGAATATCCCTAATATCGATAATCAGGAAGTTGTGTAATCCTGGCGATTTGAGAATCTCGTCATAAAACATTTTTTCCTCACTTCGCGCCTCAGCTACTCACCACCACTTTTTCTCACCCGCATTTTCTCAATTAAATTTTTGTTGTTTTCATTACAAAAAATATATAAAACATCTGCTGCTTTCTTCTAGATTCGCCAGCGGTAGTTTTCGCGGTTTTTAGTTTTATAAATTCGAAGAAATCGAGTATTTTTCCGAATAAAAATGTCTAAAAATAATCTACAAAAATCGACATGATTTGGAAGTTTTTGAATTCAAAGATTTATTTTTAAAAAATCGATTTTTCCATCTTTCGGGGGCAATAGAATTTCTGGATTTCTGAACTTCTGAACTTCTGAAATTTTTAAAAATCGGAATTTCTAGCTAATTCAGAAATTCAGAAATTCGGAAATTCAGGAATTTAGAAATTCAGAAATTCAGAAATTCAGAAATTCAGAAATTCAGAAATTCAGAAATTCAGAAATTCAGAAATTCAGAAATTCAGAAATTCAGAAATTCAGAAATTCAGAAATTCAGAAATTCAGAAATTCAGAAATTCAGAAATTCAGAAATTCAGAAATTCAGAAATCCAGAAATTCAGAAATTCAGAAATTCGGAAATTCAAAAATTCAGGAATTTAGAAATTCAGAAATTCAGAAATTCGGAAATTCAGAAATTCAGAAATTCGGAAATTCAGAAATTCAGAAATTCAGAAATCCTAAAAATTCTGAAATTCAGAAATCCTAAAAATTCTGAAAATTCTGAAGTTCTGGAACCAAATTTTCTAGTCTTTCTAGATTTTTATCACTTTTTTGATTCAGCAATTTTTCTCTATTGCACATATTGCATTTTTGCGAAACCAAAAATGTCCCCAATAACTTATACCTCACTCAACTCTTAAATAAACTCCAAAAATCCTTGAGACACCCCAAAAATAGGTTATCCTGTTATTCTTACCACAAACCCTAGACGCCTTCTGAAACCTAATACCCTATTTCTGGGGCACAAAACAAAAAACCTAAACCTCTTCTCACTCAAAAAAGAGAGAGAAAGAGAAAAAGCTCAATTTGTCATTGACTTTATATATTTATTTTTTCTTTTCGAGAATTCATTTTCTCTCTCTCTTTCTCTCTCTCTCTCTCTCTCTTTCTCTCCATCTTTAGATCCATTCATCCACGTTGAGCTGCATACAAAATTGTGCTCTTTTTTCGGTTTTAACAGAAAAAAAGATGATGAGCGCACTTTTCTCGTACCACACATCGAAAAAGCAACAACTCATTTCGGCGGTGCCCCAGCGCCAGTTTTTCCGGTTCTCCCTTTCCTCCTAATGAAGACACTGGACCACAGAAAATGAGACTTTTTTCAAACTAAGGTCCCAATTTTCCGACGTCGTCTATTCTGTCAGATGAGGTGGCAATACACACGTTGTCGTCCTCGTCTTCAGAAGACGTGAAAAGTTGAGAAGAGGTGCCGAGGAGAAAGAAGACGTTGTCAAACATTGACAAATCCGATTGCCTTTTTGCTGTCCCTTCTTCCCCCGACTCTTGCTTTCTGTCGTCGTCGACAGAGCAGGACGTTTTTTTGTTTCTTCCTGTTTTTATTAGATTTTTCTTGTGCTCCTTGTTTTCTCTGCGTCTCTCTATCTCTCGGTCTCTAGATCCAGAGAGAATGTCCACCTAAAGTATTGATGGAGAAATCAGGTCCGGCCATTTTTTTGTCCTTCTGGATCTTTTGAAAACGGAAATCAACTTTTGAAAATTGGCTTTGTAGGTTAAAATTGATTTGCAGGGAAACTGACATTTTTAAACATTTTTAAAAATTTTAGTCTGTAGGATTCTCTGGAAAATTTAATTTTTCTAAACTTTTTTCTGAGATAATTAGTTAGAAATTGTGATTTTTAGAAAACTTCAAATGCTTTTATTTTACCGTTTTTTAAGGAAATTCTGCGAAAATTCCAAATTTCAAAAATTCGAAATTTATATATCATCTGAAATTTTCGAAGACTATAAAAATTATGAATACATTTTTTGTGAAATGTGAAACATACCTCCTCTATAATTTTTTGAAAATTCGGCCACGAACTAAATTTTGGCATAAATTTTGGAAATTAGTTCAAGACCTAAATTTTTGAAATTAGGCCATGACACGAATTTTTAAAAAATTAGGTCAGGACCTAAATTTTTGAAATTAGTTCACGACCTAATTTTCCAAATTCAAATTGAGACCTAAATTTTGAAAAATTAGATTATGTCCCAAATTTTTAAAATTAGGTCATGACTTAAATTTCAAAAATTAGTTCATGACAACATTTTTGAAAACTAGGTCATTACATAGTTTTTTTGAAAACTAGGTCATGACTTGAACTTTGAAAATTTGGGTCATAACCTAAAATTTTAAAAATTAAAAAATTAGGTAACGACCTAAAAACTGATAAAATATAGGTCACGGCCTAAATTTTGAAAATTAGATCATAACCTAAATTTTGAAAATTAGATCATGGTCTAAAAATTCGAAAAATTCGGCCAGGAAAAGGAAATTCCAGAAATTAGGTCATGGCCTAGAAATTCCAGAAATCAGGCCACCACCTAAAGTTTGTAAATTAGGTCATGGCCTAAAGTTAGCCTCATAAAAATGAAATTGTTCAATTTTTGATCTCCTCCAGACATGTCTCCAAAAATAAAACATTTGCATTTCCCGAGGCCGACTAGAACCAGAAAATGTAAATTGGTCGTTGTTAGCAACCCCGCGGAAACCACTTTGAACTTCACCTCTCCTAACAGCAGAAAAAATAGACACAAAGACATAGAGAAAGAGCTCCATTTTCATTCTCTTTACATTCTTTTTCTTTTCTTTTCAGAACTATTTTTTGAACGAATTTTTTCGGTTTTTCTAGGCCGCCCAAGTCAGTTCTTCGCGAAACGTCTAGTGCCCTCTAACTGCCGACTTTGACCTGATTCATCTCGGTTCCTGTAAGAGATGTCAAGAAATAGTTAATTGATAAAATGTTTATCAAAATTCCATCAATATGTTATCAGTTAACAACTTTTCAATATCTTTCACAGAAACATAGATAAATTGACTCAAAGTTAGAGATCCTTTTCTGAGATTTACAGCAAGGGCGGCAAACAAATTGTTACATTGCAAAAAATATTTTTTGAACTGTGAGAACTACCCTTACTGTGTTCAATAGTCAAATTATGAGAAATTTGTTTTATGTACGGACTTAATCGATTTTGTTTTAGTTTTTACTAGAAAATGGTCCTGGTCTTAAAGCTGCCGAGCCCGAAATACGGTGACCTTGAACCCTTAACGTTGACCCATTTCATCTCGTTTTTGTGAGAGATAGCCAAAATTTGCCAATCGATAAATTGTTTCTCATAATATCAGTAACATTTTGTTAGTTGACAAGTTTTTGATGTCTCTCACAGGAAACTAGATAAACTTGGTCAAAGAAAAGTGCGCTCAATGGGCAACATTAGCTTGAGGTGGCGAGTTAATTCAGTTCACAGGGACGTTCTGTCTAAGAGGTATTCTCAATATTTTGTAAAAACAATTTTCCTATTTTTCATAGTTGATACATCATCTATATTTTCTGATTGCTCATTCTAATATCTAATACGTTTTCGTTCCTCTTCATCGTACCGTACTCCCTTCTCCACTGTAAATTCTTCAGACACATTTAACCAAAAATCTCCATCCAAAAATCCATCCGAACCATCCATCCGCCTACTCGTAATTTGACCTAACATCATGCGTGGCGATGAATCATGAAGACAGCGGTATTCGGACGTGATTCCGGTGAGCCGGGCTCACCGTGCGGAGCTCCGCCCTCGTTGACATTCACACCGCCGGCCACACTAGTCCCGCCCACACATCATCACTCTCGTTCGAACACACGTGGCGTTAGTGGATCCGGTGCGAGTGGAAGTGGTAGCTGTGATCGAGGAGGAGGCGGAGGACCGAATGCGTCATCTGGAGCCGGTGGACCGCGAGCTTCACACTCGTCACGACGGACCAGTCGAATGCATAATGTGTCCGCGTTGGGGGTGCGTTTTTAGTATTTTATTTATTTTAAGGGAGAAAAATCTAAAAGATGTTCAAACTATCAGGAAATACTCGGAATGCTTAAAAATATCCAAAAATACCCAAAAGGTTAAAACGACTCGCAATGACTAAAAATACCCAAAAACTCCCAAAAAGACCCGGACTGGCTAAAAATGTCAAAAAATGCTCAAAAATGTTTTTAAAGTGTGCAAAAACGACGAAAAGTAATAAACGATGAATGACGGTTCTCGAAAATGTTCAAAAAATTGAAAATTATCGAGAAAAAAAGCTCGAAATGCTCAAAAATGCCAAATCTGAAAATGTCCAAAATTAGGAAAAAGTGAAAAATTATAATTTTCGGAATTTCAATTTTTCAATTTTCCTAACTAACTGAATTGGATTAAGATAATGTTCCCAAACATTCAAGGCCACTAATTTTTTTTTAAATTTCATCAAAATTTTCAAACTCTGTACATACCGTACTTGTTCTGATAGACGCTCACCTTATACTTCACTTTGAGATCAATTATCTCAGTTACTGTACAAAATATGAAAAATCTGTCAACTGATAGAATACTGGTGATAATATGATAAATATTTTGTCAGTTGACATATTTTTGATATCTCTTATAGGAACCGAGATAATATTGATCCACTTTTTTAATTCCAAAGTTCTGAAAGTTCGGAAAAAAAAAGTTTGGTTCTTTAAAGGTGGGGGGACATGAAAAAATAATGTTCTCGAAATTCCGTTCAAAGATGCCCCTCGAGGAGTTGAACTTGTGAAGGCGATGATTGAGGGTGCGGAGCCGCTACCGACTGAGAAAGAGAAAACGGACGCCCGATTGCATATATAAAGGCGAGGACGACAGCTGTACGCAGAGTGACATTAAGCGTTGTACACCGTAACGGTAGAATGCATACCCTAGCTACAAAAATCCTACGAAAAATCTCCTGTCCCTCCACCTTTAAAAATTCTGAAACATCAACAAAAAAGTCTATCTTCTCTATTCCTTTTCCATATCCACAACATTATGCCCTTTCGGAAAAAAAAACATTTTTTTGGTTTTTCTTTTCCATATTTTCTGTGTTTGGAGACATACATCTGAATCCCTCCACCCATCTCCATCCTTTTCATTTTTTATAATGATGTGTGTATTCTCCATATTTTTTGCTGGTACTCATCTTTTTTCTTTCTTCATCATTTCCATTTTTTGTGAATGTGTGCCCTGTGCCCACATCCACAACAAGATATATAGTTTTGGTCCTGTTGGCACTTAAAATTTCATTGAAAGAAAAAGAAAACAAAACAAATGGAAAATTATTTCAACTAGTTTTTATTTTTGCTCCTTCTTTGTTCGAAATTCCTAAGAGGCGAAGTGTTTTCTTTTCCTTTTTTGAAATTCTGAAATTCTGAAAAATTTCAAAAAAAAATGCTTCTATAACGTTTTTCATATCTAATCGATTTTTATGAAATTTTTGGGAATTGTAATTATAAAATGTTGAGTTCAATTATCTCAAATCCTATAAGAGATATCGAAAATCTGTCAACTAATAAAATATTGGTGATATTTCGATGAACATTTCATCAATTAACCAATTTTTGATACCTCTTATAGGGACTGAGATAATTGAGTTCAAAGTTGACCCGAAATTTTTTAAAATTGAAATTGTGAAAAATTACCTATCGATCGTTATACATTTAATGAAAATCGGTTGAAAATGAAAAAAGTTATGGAATTTTGAGAATTTCAGCTTTTCAGAATTTCGAAAAAAAAATCACAAAAAATCTTCTAATCTTTCCTCTCAAGAACCTCCCAAACCATGATCCTTTCTCGGCAAAAAATTGAATTTATATTTTCCGAATCCCGGAATTTTCGAATACTCTCTCTCTCTCTCTCTCTCTCTCTCTCTCTCTCTCTCTCTCTCTCTCTCTCTCTCTCCGGGCTATTTTGTAGGGTCAAGAGAGAGCACAATCTCGTTTTCGGGGCTCAAAATTAAAATTTGTGGATGGACGAGCCATATCGCCGAAACTTTTTCTGCTTTGCTCCAACAACCATTGACCTCCCTTCAGGGGAAATATGACGAATTTTTTTTGTTGGGATTTTTGAGACTCTTTTTTTATTTTACAGGAATTTGAAAAAAAAAGAAAATTGATAATTGATGGCCTAGAAAAATCTAGAAAAAAAACTCGGCCAGATTTTGCTGGACCAATTTTGAGCTATTCTTTTTTCAGTTGGTATTTTTGAGGTCCTAAAAACATGGTCCAGAATTTTTCAATTTGTCTGGAAATTTCAGAGTATACCACACAAAATTTGGGTTTAATTTTTTAATTGACTATTTTTTGTAGCTTTGTTAGTTTTTGAGATATGCGCCTTTAAAGTGAAAGTGAGAGCACGCTAATCTCTGCGTCTCTTTTCTCCAGTTATTAAGTTACAAAAAAGATGTCAAATACAAAATTAAAGCTCTTGTTTTGTTTAGTGTACTTTGAACCTTTCAGATAAATCGATAAATTCTGTACTACTTTTTTAGGACTTCAAAGTTGACTATTTTTTTCAACATTTTCTTTTTTTGGCTTTTTTGGTTTGTTCCAAAAAAGACCTAAAACTTTAGCTCAACTCAACTTTGAGCTATATATATCATCTTGGGTGTTCCTAACTTCATTTCTCTGAATCTCTCCTTTTCCTGCACTCTCTCACTCTCTCTTCCACAATCATTTTCAATCAAATTAGACGTGTGAAGAGAGAGAAAACCTCCGTTTTTTTGTCTTTTTTTGCATCTTCCTTGACGGTAATTTGTGTAGAAAAAGGAGTCGAAAGAGCACGGCTTCTTTTTTCTCGTCGGGTTTTTTTGCTTTGTTTTCAATGTCACAAAGCTTCTGAATGCCCGACGACGTCTTCTGAAGAATCGTAGGGAAGGAAAAAAAAGAAGAGTCTTGTCTAATCACGCATTCTTTTTTTTTCTGTATTCTTGAAGGTGTTGTGGGGACATGGAATTTTTTAGTTTCGAAGGAAGAAATAAATTGTCCCCATCTTTTTTGTCCCCGCCTTTTTCTAATTGTTTCTTCGATTTTTTTTCTAGTCTGTTTGTGCTCAATTTGCTTTTTTTTTCTAAAAGAATCTATTTGATTTTTAGAGAAATTTTCGGTTTCTTTGGATTTCTTGAAAATCGAAATATCAAAATTTCGGAATTTTTTTAATGATTTTAAGATTTTCAAAAAAAAAACTCCGAAAAAAATTTCAAAGATTCTGAATAATTTTAAAATCCTGAAGAAAGATCCTGGGATTCTGAAATTCTGAAATTTGGAAATTCTGAAATTCTGAGATTCTGAAATACTGAAATACTGAAATCCTGAAATTTTCAAATCCTGGGATTCTAAAACTATGGCATTCTGAAATTCTGAAATTCTAAAATTCGGAAATTCTGAAATTCTGAGATTCTGAAATACTGAAATCCTGAAATTTTCAGATCCTGGGATTCTAAAACTCTGGCATTCTGAAATTTTGAAATTCTAAAATTCTGAAATTCTGAAATTCTAAAATTCTGAGATTTTGAGATTCTAAGATTCTTAGATTTTGAGATTCTAAGATTCTTAGATTCTAAAATTCTGAGATTCTGAAATTCTGAAATTCTGAAATTCTGAGATCCTGAGATTCTGAGATTCTGAAATTCTGAAATTCTCAGATTCTGAAATTCTGAAATTCTGAGATTCTGAAATCCAAATTTTTTTCGCAATGTTCATCAAACTTTTTTTGAAAATCAGATTGAAGAAAAAATCTGAAAAGATTGCTCACTTTTATCTGAAAATAGGAAATTTCTAGTCAATGGAAAAAAAAATGACATTATGTTGCCTTATTTTTCTGAAATTCCACTTTTTTGAATTTTCAAGTTTTCAGTAAAGCAATTCTTTTGAAAATTATTTTAAATGAAAAAATTTTTTAAAAAATTATTTGATCATTCCAAAAATTCCATAAAAACTTTTCAAATATTCTGATTCTTGACTTCCATATCTTTTCCTGCAAACTTTTTCTCTTTTTTCTCCAAAAAAATGTCGGAGGCAACATTTTCGGACATTTATCACATCTCTAAATCTCGGAGCCATGTTCATCCCTCTATTCCTGCCTCATTTTTCAACAATTCTTGTCTTTTTTTTAGTTTTCCAGTTTTTCTTTTCTAAAACAAAACAAAAAATCAATACCAGCAGAGATGGAAGTACCTGCACCGGTGTTGTTGTGAATAGGCAATTCGGAATTTTTTTTGCGAAAAACCACAAAAAATGGTCCGTCGAAGTCGTTCGAAACGAAAACTCACTCAACTTATCATCTCCAATGGGTATATACAGGTACGGTGGCTTTTTTAATGATGAGCAATTTGAAGGAAAAAATTGGTGGCTTCGAATATTTTCAAAAATTTTGGGAACTATTTTCATAATCTTTGAAATTGGTCTATTCAAAATTTAAGCTTCTAAATCTGGCTTTAAAATTGTTGGCTCTAAATTACTGTTTTTTTGTACTCCTCGTGGACTATTTTTAGAGCCCTCTTAAAATTTTGTGTCCTTTTTGTGTCCCTTTTTGAAAACTTTGTAATTCAAATTTTTCCATTTTTGGAGCAAAAAAAAGAGCAGTCCTTTAGAGTAAAAGTTTAGAGGGATAAAATGACTAAACAAACAATTCGAGAAATATTTTTTGTTTCAATATGGAAAATGTACTTTGTATTAGGTAACGTTCAAAGGTATGTCGAATTTTGGAATCTGAAAAATCGGATTCATCTGAAATTTGGAAGAGTCTGAAACTCCAAAAAAAAAAAAGCAGAAAATGAGACCTCAAATTGTCTGAAAGGGTTGAAATTTCAAAAATCAAAATCAGTAAAGGATGGAAATGGAAAATCTGAAATTCGAGATTTTTGCTTTTGGAATTTGTCTGATTTTGAGATTTAGATAATTTTCAGTAGGTTTGTTGATTTTATTTTGTAATATTTTTGCTAAAAATTGAGGCTATCGAGAATGGCGGCTGCGGCTGCCCGGCCGGTCGAGCGCGCCCAGCGAGCCCTCGGCCGGCTATTAACTTTAACCTAATTTACCTTGTTCCCTATGAAAGGTATCAAAAAGTAACCAACTGATAAAATATTTTTCATAATTTCAAAATTATTTTATTAGTTCGCCACTTTTTGATATCTTCAAAAAGTAACCGAGATTAATTGGGTCAAAGTAATCGTACCCGAAATTATACCTGAATCCCTTTACTTGAACTTTGAGCTCAATTATCTCGGTTCCAATCAGAGATATGAAAAATATGTCAACTGATAAAATAAATATCATATTATCAGAATTATTTTATTAGTTGATCACCTTTTGGTATCTTCAAAAAGAACCGAGAAACTGTGTTAAAGATATCATCAGAAGTTTTGCCCTAAACTGATCAGGGTGGCCTAGAAACATGAAAAACTCGGCCAGAAATCTAGCACATCTTGTTAATTGTCAACTTTCTCAAGAAAAAAAAATTAAAATCCTTTATTGTTGTATCTGCCTTTAGGTCTCTGAAAATCTCTGAAAATTCATCCACCCTCTCTCCTCTTCTCTAAAAATGTATCCAGTTCTAAAAAACGCCTTGAAGTGTGTTGGTTCTTCTTTAAGTGCTGCTGCTCCTATTGTCATTCGAAAGTTTTTTTTCACTCTTTCTCTGTAATAAACAAATTTGGGGCATAGTAGGCCCAGAGTTGTAAAGGGAGTGTTCGAGTACCCTCTTCGCTGCTCCAACTGGTCTCGGGGCGGCCTCGGCTCGTAAAAAATTCATGAAAATCACCTTCTGGGGATTTTCGGAGCTTTTTGGGGGAGATGTGGAGAGAAAAAGAGACACGGTTCTTTTTCATATACACACATCAGAAGTTACTCTAGAAGGCTGTGACACCCAAGAAGGCACAAGCATACACAGTGACAAACAATATATGAAAAGCATTGGGCGGGACACAACACGAAAAAAGAGATGGAGAAGAAGAGGAAAAAGTGACCAAGTGCTCCAAAAGAAGGCGTCGAAAGAAGAAGAAGAAGGAGTAGAAGCAGTATCTGAATTAAATCTCGCACTCTTCCGTCTTCACACCGCTCCTCCCTTCTTCTTCAGAAGAACAAGAATAAGAAGAAGAAGAAGACTCTTTCCTTCCCCTTCTAATTTATTTTTCTTCGACACCCCCCCCCCCCTTCCCCGTCCCGTCCCTCATTCCGGTCTCCAGTCCTCCAATGGACAGGACCCGACCGTCGGTTCGGAACTACAGTCTTGATCTGACGAGACACCGAAAACTGACCGATGCCAAGGCGGTCTCGCCGTCGTCATGCTCCGTCAAGTTCATGCCCGAGGTGTTGGATAACAGTAATTCGGCAAATACGGCTAGGAAGCACTCGTCACTGTCACAGCCAGCGTTCAGGTGTCACTCGAGACAGCATCATAATATTTTGAGTCCCCATGCACTGGCGGTGAGTTTTTGTTACTTTTTGGGTTGATTTTTAGGGTCTTGGGATAATTACCTGGATTTGCAAATCCATGGTTTTGTAAAGCTTACCAGAAAAAAAACTACCGATCGTACTGTCCTACCTGCTATTTAAGGCCCTAATTTTCCATTTTTAAAATCGTTGATAATGCCTTCTGAAGTCCTTATCACTCTATGCCCCTAAACAAGCCTTATCAAATTGAGAAAGTCAGGAACAATGTAAATCCTGTGAAACAAAAAGACCCCTTAACTTTGACCGGATTTATCTCAATTTCTGTAAGAGGTATCAAGAAAAGGTAAACTATCAAAATGTTTCTCATAATATTATCAATTTTTTATCAGTTGACCACCTTTTGATATGTTTTACAGAAAACCAGATAAATAGGCTCAAAGTTGGATGTAATTTCCATCTTCTTTAGCAACCTGAAGAGACGCCGAGAAACGAGACTGTCTAGCTTCTCTAGTTCTTACGGTCCTTTCTAGTCTTGACCCATTATTTTCAAGCTCCTCTGTCGTTTAGAACTAAATTTTGAATCTGAAACCCTTCAAATTTGGCTCAAAATCCATACAGTTATATTCACATCATAAATCAAAATATATTATAGGTACCTAATTTTTTGTTTAGATGTATAAGATGGCTTCTTTTTTTTTAATCTTCTGCATGAGTGACTTCTCATACGTTCACTACACAAATATCTATTTGCTCAGGTAATCAGAACAAATGATAATTCATTAACGGAAATGTAAAATCTAAAAATCATGGTATCGAAAAATCATAGATTACGACTGATCAAACTCTAGAGTGATAGTGTTAAGTGATAGCTTCTGCTAAAATTCAATGGCTTCTATATCTGGATAACTTATCCGGATAAGTCTTTAAATCTAGTGATATGAAATTGCAGGAATTCCAGATCAAAAAGTTTATAGTATAATCAAAATTGAATTGTATCATAGTTTTCAAATAGAGTTTTAGAATTCAAATCTTTAAAAGTCTGTACAATGTAGGTAACAATTATGCACCTTGCTAACAAGTATACTTATCCAAAGTAGAACTCTGCAAATCAGGGTTTTTTATTGATTTTTTGAATACTTTTTTTAAAATTCTTCTTGTTATAAACTACTTTCCTAAACCCCGTTTTCCAGCCGCATAGCTCAGCGGCGCACCATCTCTAATATATTGTTCATAAGTTCAACTCTTCGATCCTGTGGTCCGAGAGGATCAAAAAGTCGAGGAATTATTTTGCATTTCCTACCAAGTTGAAAATATCAACAATTTATTAAGGTCAATAATTTCTAGGTCTGGAAATGTCCAGATATCTTATCTTCATTTTTATAACTTTTCTAGCTATAAGCACTTCATTTAAGGGCCCTTCAACGTAACATACTGTCTATAATCCACGTCATCAGAACATTCCCCTAAAAATCAAACCTGACCATCCAGGTTAACCGTTCTCAGGTTTTTTAATCTTGCTAGCTGTAACCCTTGGCTCACGCTATATGTAGAGGGGTCACCTTGGGGAGTGTTGGATTCCCCGTGACGGCTCCAGAGAAACAAGCTACCTCCTTGTGCGTGCTGTCTGGTAAAATAGGGGAAAGTGCATCGGTAACAGGGGAACTAGTTATGTCTGTAGCGAGGAGTGGGACGACGAGCGCGCAGATAAGCGGTGTGGAAACAATAATAACAACAGTAGTATCAGTGACCCATTTATTGAGCGGTATATATTTAGTAAAGAGAATATATCGTCAATAAGAGGTTTCCTTGGAGTCGGGCTGGCTTGGAGACGGACGAGAAGGACATCACTGATCACTCAATAGTTGAAGGGGCAAAAAGCCTTGGGCAACAAAAACCCTTCTCCTACCGGTGACAAGCTTATCGCTTCTCATAGACAAAGTTCCCAATAGCACACTCTTCCTAGTGGTCACGATGAGAGCACTGAAAGGAAAACACTCATGAAACAGGTCACAGAACTGGCCGTTAGTCTATTCAGAAGGAAATCTATATCAACTCACATCATTAGCGGTTTCCGATAGTCCAATAAGGCCGGTAAGGCGATCGGGGATCGCCGGAGGTCTTATAGTATTGGAATAGTAGGAATAATGATGAGTAACGAGGTTGACGGACTTGCAAACTGAAGGGAACCGTCACGGAACAGCACTAACTACTAGACTAGAATTAGACTGAGTAAGACTCAGTTAAATCTGCGTAAGACTCAGTTAATCTGAGTAAAAATAGGCCAGTAAACCCGTTTCGAGTGTGTGTGCGCCTTTAACCTTTTTGTGGCGAGACCTCAACGATAGGGCGCGCTTGCACGAAGGGAGAGAAAATTGGCGGGAATTTGAATATGAGAAAGCAATAAAAGACTAATAAACAAAGGAAAATCAAGAGAATAAAGTGGGAAATAGGAAGATTTCTGAGGAGTAAGCACAGTGGGCTGGGCCTAGAGGTCCTCATAATATCTTAAAGTTGTTGAGTCGGTGAATAGCCACGTGGACTCGACAACACTATACTTGCACTTTGAGCTCAATTATCTCGGTTCCTTCAAAAGAAATCAAACATTTGTCAACTGATGAAAGATTTATCATAATATCAGAAACATTTTATCAGTTGACAGGGTTTGGTATCTCTCATAGGAACCGAAATAATTGAGCTCAATCTTACGGTAGTTCAATCGTTCCTTGGCATAAAGGGCGTCCGAAGACTACGTGATTAGAAGATCCAGAATCTGAACCTGGAAGATTCCAGAATAACCCCCTTGGTCCTAAGTTCACAAGGTTTCCTTTCCTGTCCTTTTCCTTTCGACGTCCATCTGCGTTTAGTGTCGCTTTAGTAGGCTGTACTACACTACACATGCATAATGTATACATTTCAAAACTCTCCCCCGGCTCTTTTTTGTGCTCCTCAACACGCGTCAAAAGTGCCACACCGGTTGTGTTTGTCCTATTGTCTTTTTTTCCCGAAAACTTCTTCGGGGCGTCATCGTCTTGTTTCCGTATTCCGGAGAGATGACACGTCGCCCCGGGTGATCAAAAGGACTACTGTAGATGGTGGTGTCTTGTGACATTTCAACACCTCCTCTGGTGACTTGGTTATGAACGTGCTGAGCTGCTCGGACTTTTGTGTTTTGGAAAGATCAAATGGGTCAAAAAAGAAGAGTGGGGTACGGTAGTTTTGGACTTTTGGAAGATGGATTCAGCTTGGTTCCGAAAAAAAGAAGCTTCATCCGGAGGAGAGAAGAAAAATGAAGATATTGGACAAACAGACACACAGAAAAGTCTTCTGAAGCCTATCTACTTTTTGGAATTGAAACATTAAAACACCGTAAAACCTGTTACAAAGTGATCCCTTGAACGGCCGAGCCGTGGCCGGCCGTCCAAACCCCAGCAAGGCGTTTTGGTTCGGAAACTGCTCAACTTTAATCTAAATTATCCCAGTTACTGTAAGAGATATCAAATAGTGCTCAACTAACAAAATATTTGACATCTCACACTAAACACTTCGTTGGTTGACTATTTTTTGGTATCTTTCACAGGAAATAAGGTAAACTAGGTCAAAGTGAGCTATGCGTGGCGTCATCTCAAATTGTCCCTGGAGTGCACTTTTCTTTTACCTAAATTACCTCGGTTCCTGTAACAGATATCAAAAAGTAATTGAATAATAAAATGTTGCGGATATCATGGTAAACATTTTATTGATTGACCACTTTATGATATCGTCTACAGGAAACGAGATAAATTGGGTCAAAGTAAAAGGTCCTTTAAATTACCGTCGGGCCTTTTGGTAGCAGAATTTGAGCCAAAAAAAACCGCCGGATGAACAGACAAAAAGAACAAAAACGCCAAGTTTACTGATATATAAATCCGCATGTGTTTTTTTCATCCACATGAAAACATATGTATTTTTTTGTTCTATCCCCTCTCCCTATGTAGCCTTCTCGCCTTTCTGGTCTCTTCCTCTCAAGAGGGAAAAAAAGAGTCGAAAAGGTGTGCTCACTAGGCAACGAAAAAAGAAAAGAAGAAGGAGAACATCGTCTTTTCTTCTTCTTTTTCTTTGGAACTCTGCGTCTCTATTCCTTTAGACAATGAGTTCCTTTTGCTCTCTTTTTTACCACAAAACACCCCTTCAAAAGAGGAGGAGCCCCATTTAAAGGGGCAACAGATACAAAAGGTGTAGTCGTACTATTTTTCTTATTCGGATCCTTTAAACTAATGTCATCTTCCGTCCCAATGATTGACTTATCATCCTCTGGAGATGACGATGATAGTGACCTTATGAGGTCCTATCTGCCGGTACCTGGTCCTCTGGATGATTTGGATGCTCCTTCTCTGTTATTCGGAAATGGAAATCTGTGTCGATCTACTCTTTCGATTAATCAAATTTCTTCTATGGCACCATCACCTTTTTCTGAGATTACGGTATCCTCGCAAAGGCCGTTGGTGCCGAGATCTGGATCTAATTCTAGTGAGCATGGTGGATTGCTGAAGGAAGTTAAGAAGAAACCGGTTGCTGATATTGCACATGTGAGTTGGTTTTTTGTGATTTTGATAGTAATGTGTTCTATAAAAATTCAAAAAAAAACTCCTTTGAAAAGGTACAACTTTTCAACTACACCTGTAAGGGGCAAGGTGTAAGGTGCTGCTAAGAAGCCGTGTCCTTTCAACACTACTTATCTCGCTTTTTGTAAAATATACCAAAAAACTTTTGACTGATAAAATGATTGTGATAAAATTTTTCACATTTTGATAGTTGATCACTTTTCGATATCTTTATTCAGATCCGAGATAATTAAAGGTAAAGTGGCGAAACTTTAAAATTCGGTTTTTTGTATTTTTCCCCTATCTTTTTGGTTTTTTTTTCCAAATCGTGCTGTACAATTGTAAATTTAAATTTCTAATTTGTTCTCCCATTTTGCTAAACTTTATTTGACATGTTGACTCATTTGACCTGTATTACGACAATTTTGACCTACCGCAAATGTTTCTATAGAATTCAAACATATAGTTTCTGTAGAATTCAAACATAGTTGCCCTTTGAGCTCAATTATCTCGGCTCCTTTAAGAAATATGCAAAATTTGTTAACTAGAAAAATGTAGGTAACTTTATGAACAACATTTTATCAGTTGACAAATGTTTGATGTCTATTACAGCAAGCGAAATAATTGAGCTGCAAGCATCAGAGGTCGCAGGCGCGGCAGACCGCGTAGCTCAGCGACGCGGCAACCTATACACTTTGAGCTCACTTATCTCAATTTCTGTAACAGATATTGAAAAACTATTAACAACAAACATGTTCATTATAAAATGACAACATTTTACTAGTTGACTAATTTTTCATATCTCTTAAAGCAGCCGAGATAATTGAGCTCAAAGATTCCCAATGATTCAATCTACTCTCATTTTCAATGCAGTTTGACTAACTTTGCAAAAAGGCTATAAACTCTCGGTGACTTCCACACCTTTTGTCCCCTATTTCTACCCCCAACCCTATCCATCACAAATTATGGGGTACGAGGTGGCCGAGGAGCCATAATTCACGGTCGGCCATCCTGTCTCCGGACGCCTATTTAGTGCTCTCCCATCAGGCAACAGATGGTCGAGGAGATGACCAAAATGGATGATGGACAGGAACATTTTTTGGGAAATTTGAGGAAAATTGATTGGGAAAAAAAGGAATTGTAGATTTTCCGACTCTTTCGTGTTAGAGGAATATAATAACTTTCAGTTGTGTGCATTTTTACATGAAGTTGTACAGTGATAGATGTTTACACCTTTATGGGGATACCGTACTTGGCAAACAACGACCGCGTAGATAAGCGGCGCAAACTTTTCCAATACCTGGCTCTCAAATTCAGCTCCAGAAAAATTACTTTCGAAATTTCGAAAATTTAAAATTTCAAAATTTCAATTTTTGATCATAACTCCGCTCCAAATGATCCTAAAACGTTGAAAATAGAACCAAAACAAACTTCTGAATTCCCGAATCTCTAAATTTCTAGGCCACCATTTTTTGATGGCCTAACTTTTCCAAAACAGCGTTTTTTCGGCCATTGGTCATCACTTGGAACGAAGTCTTGAACTTCTGATACCATCATTTTAACGAAATCATAATATTCCACATTTTCTGTAGAATTGCCTTCTTCCTGAATCACCTCCACGTCTTCAGAATACCTCTAAAAGCTTCCCCTCTTTTTCTAATGTAGGATAAAAAAATCACGTCATCCGAAGATCTATATATCTTCCCTTCCCCGAAAAATCCAATTAGATTCTCAAAACTTTTTGTGTGTGCTTGTGCCATAAGGAAAGAATAATTTATGATATTTAGTGGTGAAGAAAAGGGACCAAGATGATTTTTCCAGAGGAAATTCCCCCTTTTACTAATACTAAAAGGGTTTTTTGGTTTTTTTTGTCGTCGGGGATTCAAAAGTGTACAACAATATTTCATTTTTATGATCTCTCTTTTCCCTGTCATAATGTTCAAAACTCTTTGTCTTCTTATTCTTCGTTTTTCTGTTTCTTTGAAATTTCGAAATTAATTTTTTGGCCTTTTTCTTCTGGGGTCCCCTTTCTCCAATAATTAGTCCTCTCTAGAAATGAAAAAAAAGGAAAAGAAGAGAATAATTTGCTAGTAGCGTACAAGCAACTCTAATTTTTCGAGCCCTGCAAAATAGCAAAAAAAAAAGAAGACAAAGGAGATGTTTATCAGAAGCGAAATCGAGAAAAAAAAATTAAATTGAAAAAGAAAATGTTTATAGAGAAACGATAAAAATGCTAAAATTAAGCATTTTTGAGGGGAAATAAGGGACTGGAAATTTTGAAAATCCAGCTTTGATCTTTGAAATTCTGGATTTTGGATTCTAAAATTAGGTTTTCGTTTTTTGAAATTTCAACTTTTTAAGAGAAAAAACTGAAAAATTCCGTAAAATCCGAAATTTCAGTTTTTCCAAGAAGTTATAGGATTTTGGAGCTTTTTTGGGTTTTTAAGATTTTGTGATATTTCGAATTTTTTAAAAAGAATTTAACCAATTTTAGGATTCCTGGGATTTTCAGGATTCTACGACTTTTAGGAAACAGGTGATTTTGAAACTTACGAACTCGAATTTTGATTTTTTGGAAATTTGGAAATTTCAAACTTTCTGTTTCAGGTGAAAACCATTTTTTTTAATCTTAAGATGTGAAACTTCGGAAAATTCAATCTACTGTAAAACCTGTATTAGAAGGGCCTCTTTGATAGAAGGGCCCCTCTAATAGAAGGGCCCTCTGGAGATACCTTGGAAAAATAGAAGGGTCGACCCTTCTAATACAGGTTTTACTTTAATTCTTAAATATCAAGAACTCTGAAAACTCCTGAAAATTCTGAAAACCCAAAAAAGTCTGAAAATCCAAAAAGTTTTGAAAATCTGGAAATTCTGGAAATCCAAAGAAAATTATATTTAATGAAACATTTCTTTTAAAAAATTTTCAAATCTAAATTTTCGAGTTTTTCCGGATTTCTGATAAAATCTGAAATTTTCAATTTTTGACATTTAGGCATTTTTGAAAGTTACTCTAAATTTTCGAAAATTGCTCCGAAAATCCCTCAAATTTTCGAAATGACGTCTTCTTTCTTTGGGTGTACCTCTTGATTTTTCTCATTTCGGTCTATTCTTCATTTTCTTCTGCTTCTTCTTTTATACCAAACGTCTTCTGAATCCTGAAGACCTTTTGGTATGTCCTCTCCTCTCGAAGCCTCTCGAGAAGACACACACCATTATCGGCACTCATCTCGGGAGCCAATGTCAACACAATTTAAGCGTTGATTTGGGACGACGACATCTTCTCTCTCCACGCCTTCTGAATCCCTCTATTCCTCCTTAGTACACTTATTTTCATTGTCTTCTTCTTCCATACTAAAACCCGCCGAAATTCAAAATCTACCACTTATCCCCTCGTACCTTTCCCGCCAAGAAGACATTCTATTCAACCCGACGTCTTCTACTTCCACGTCATCTGGAATTCCAAAATCATCGTCGACAGGGACGATGCCACGTCGTCCGCCGTTGCTCCGTCTGGCGCCTGTGCCAGAGGACGAGGAGGACGACGAGGTGTTTCTGGAGACTGGAATTGATAATGATAAGCAGAGATTTCTGCCTAGACGAGTTCAAAAGGATAGGAAATTTCATTCTGGAGACGATGTAGACAGTGAAGACGACGATGTGGAGGAGCAAGAGAATAAGGTAAATATTTAGAGAAATCGAGACTGCTTATTTCCCATTTCCCCGTCTTAAATTTCTCTGAATCTCTCTGGAATTTTATGAACCTTTTCTTTATTTTTTTCATAAATTCTGAAGAAGGAACGGATGGGTTTTGATGTGGTGTTAGTGGTTGGATAGAGAAAATTATATTCCATTCATATTTTTTAGTCTGTCTCGAGAATTTTTTTTTGAAAAAAAGAGGATTCTAGTTTTTTCTGAGCTAACATTACCGTAAAACCTGTAATAGAAGTGCCCCCTGACTTTCAACTGTGAGCCCATTTATCTCGGTTCCTGAGCACTTCTATTACAGGTTTTACGGTATTAAAAAGTTATCTGAAAAGCAAATTCTCTAAATTCATAATTTTTAAAATTTTCTCAATTTTCGAAAAAACAAGTTTTGAAATTTTATCGAGATTCTTGACGTTTTGAAAATTCGAAAATATTCAAAATCTTGGATTCTTCAATTTTTCTGACAAGGGAACCTCAACACCTCACAAACCCAGATATTGATAAAAATTTCAGGATAGGTTGGAAATAGCCTCTCTAGACATTTCTGAAAATTTTAGAGCCCGCCCACCAGTTTCAGCCGAGTTATATAAGTTTCAGTACCAAAAATCGCCGGTTCAGTGCAAAAGCAGCGTTTTCAAAGATGATTTTCTCGAGTTCTAGGACGTTTCAAAGAATGAAATTTGTTGTGTTATACTCAAATTTTAATGAAATTTGATATTTCAAACTTTTTCTCAAGAACAAATACATTTTTTATTTTTGAATTTTTTCACGATTTTCCAGATTTCTTCGAAAATTGAAAAAAATATTTTTTTGAGAAAAAGTTTGAAATATCAAATTTCATTGAATTTTAAGCATAACGAATCAAGTTCTGGAACCTCCTAGGAGCGGAGAAAATCGTCTTCGAAAACGCTGATTTTGCACTGAAAAGGCGATTTTTGGTACTGAAACTGATATAACTCGGCTGAAACTGGTGGGCGGGCTCTAAAATTTTCAGGGGTGTCCAGATAGGTGATTTTGAACATCCTGAAATTTTCATCAAAATCTGGGTTTGTGAGGTGTTGAGGTTCCCTTGTGAAATTTTCTGACTTTCATGAGAATCTAAAAAGCAATGAATATATTCAGAAATTCAGAATTTCAGAAAAATTATATTTAGAAGTTCAGAAATTCAGAAATTTTGCAAAAATCCAAAAAAAAATCGGAAAAGTGGATGTCAATTTTTTAGAATTTTTCAAGTTTTAATTTCCCTAAAAATTTCCCTAAAATTCCATATTTTCGCTCATTTTCTGAACAAAACACCACACATTAGTGGATATTCCCTAGTCTAGTTTCCCATCGTCCAGATGTGTTCCCGCCGTTCCCGTAAACTTTTTTATAGGAAAAATGAGAAGAAAAAAGGGGTGGAGAGAATAAGAGAAAAGAAGAAGAATTCTTCTTCTTCTTCTTTATATCTTCTGGAGAAGAAGAAGGAGAAGAACACATTTAATTTCGTTAGCTCTCTTTCTCGGCACAAAAAGCAACCGAGAAGAGTCTTTGCACTTTACATGTCATCATACTTTTCTTATTCTTCTTCCTTTTTTCTCTTTTTTTTCTCATTTTTCAATTTTTCCGGTCTCGAACATGTCATTTTTCTTTTCTAGTCCTTTTTGAACGGTTTCCGTAGGTGGATTTTGAAGTTTTTGGGATTTTTGGAATGTGTTTTCTTGGAAAATCCAGAACTTTTAGAGCTTTTTCACATTAATTTTTAGGATGGTTTATGATTTTTCTGAAAAAAATTTATTTCGAAAATTGAGAAATGTTGGGATTCCTTTTGGAATTTATTAGGACTATGAGAATTTTGATGAATTTTAAGATTTTAGAATTTTTTCTCTTCGAAAAATGTTCTGGAGTTTTGTTAAAATTTTTTGAGCTCTCATATGTAGCTCTCAGAGCTCTTCTGAGCATTATACCTAAAAAAGAAACAGGTGATTTTTTAAATGCTGAGCAATCTGGAATATTCAGTCTGTTCAGGCATACGAAATCATTATTTTCTGAGAATGCCATATAAATTACTTATTAATTGACATTTTTATAGGAAAACAACTACAAACTATGAAAAAAAATATTTAAATAATAGGTTTTTTTCTAAATATTTTATTTCAAAAAATTAAAATTTTATATTTCGAAAAATTTCAAAAATCCTTAGCATTTTAAACATCAGGAAATGATGAAAATCCTTAAAATCCTAATCTTAAAATCCTAATAATTCCTTGAAAAATCAAGAAATCCCAAAATACCGAAAATCGTGAAAATTCTGAAAACAGTGTCAAATATTTTGAAATTCCCTAAAATTCCTTAAAATTGTAATTATTTCGAAAATTCCAATAATTCTTCCAAAATTAAAATACTGAAAATTCCAGAAATTTTAAGTCATGAAAAGTCTAGAAGTTCTAATTGTGCTAAAAATTCGAAAAATCCTAAAAATCCTAAAAACTCTTTTAAAAACTAAAACTGTGAAATATCAAAAAACCAAAAAATGTTGGAAAATTTCCAATTTTTGAAAATCCAAAGTTCTTTAAAATTACGATTTTAAAAATTTCAGAAATTCAAAAGTTCAATAAAAATGCAAACCCTTAGAAATACTTTAAAAACCACAATCCAAAAAGTACTTAAAATCCAAATATCCAAAATTCGATATTTCAGAAACCATGAAAAATCGAAAAACTTCTAGGAATAAACTTTTGATTTTGGGATCTTGTGATTCAGAAATCTCAAACATGAAAAATTCAGAAACCTAGAATTCAAAATACCTAGTATTCAGAGAAAATTCTGGAAAAACCCTTTCCCAGTTCTTTCCCTCTCCTTCTCCGAAAGCAGAATATAAAAAACTTTCCTACTCCAACATAGAAACCTTCTCTCCTCATATCCAATCCACATCATCATCACCCATCCTATCGCTCGTACATGTTTTAAAAGAATATGTGCTTCTTTTTCTTCTTTTTCCTCTTCTTCTCCAACTTCTACTTCTTCTGGATGGTGGTGCTCTTCGAAGGGGTCGGATGTAAGACCCCAATTTGTAATGCATATTGTTTTCATCATAATGCTCCACCAGCTCACCAACCACTCCAACTTTTTTTGCTCCTTTTCCTTTTTCTTCCTTTCCTTCTTCCTCTTCTTCCTACTTGACCTAGTTACTTAAAATCTAGACTCTTTAAGCTGCCAAAAGCCAATCAATATTTTTTTCGATGTATTTCTGATAATTTTTTCAAGTACCTCTCTCATCCTTCTACTTGAGCAGCACTTCTTCAAACACGACGTCTTCTATTTTTCCATTTTCAAGAAGAAGAAGAAGAAGAATTTAGTATTCTAGCTAGTCCAACCATTTTTTTGTTCGTTGAATCATTAGTTAAAAGTATTGAGTTTCATAAGAGAGAGCATTTGGAGCAACTTTTTTGGTTTTCTAAAAAAATTGTAGGCTATAAAAAATTCCAGAGAGATTTCTTCCCCTTTTTACCCCCTTAACCTCATTGTCTTGCTTCTTCCTCCTTACCGTAACCCACTACAAACTACAAAAACTATAAAATCAAGAAGTGTCATCTGGTGTCATCGTCGCACGCGTCGTTGCGTTCGCTGTCGCCGTGCCCGTCGCTCCAGTCGTCGTCGTCGATCGGTGGTTGTGGTGGAAGTGGTATGGGCATTGGCGGTGGCGGCGGCGTCGGTTCATCTGGAGCAGCGGCGATCACGACACGACGAAATGCGGCCATTGCGTCGACGGGCTCGACGACGTCGACCGCCGGACGGCGAGCGTCCGCGTTCGTCCGACGAATGTCGATGGCGATTCCGACGTTGTCCGCCGATCCCGTACCGTTTTCAGCTGTAAGTTTTTTTATTGGAAAATATGAATTTTGGGGTTTCAGAGAGTAAAGTGGGTTGGGAAGTGGACTTGTCTGAAGTGGACTTGTCTGAAACTGATCGTAAACTATCAAAGGTATCATAGGTACCATCATACCCAACAATCCTCTGAAAAGCATTACTTGCACTTTGAGCTTAGTTATGTCGGTTACCATAAAAGATATCAACAATCAGTCAAATGATAAAATGTTCATTACAACATAACCAATTTTTATTCAGTTGACAAATTTTTGATATCTCTTATAGGAACTGAAATAATTGAACTCAAATGAGCAATTTAAAGATATTGCATTAATCTAGTGAGTCTTGATTATCATCTAACAGTAAACCTTGTAATTTCTTCTTTTTTTTCAAACACCATTGTGCCGAAAATGGACAATACATTCCATAAAATATAATTTACCTTGAAGACCAGAACCTAACAAACTGGCCCGTCTAGATAAAGCTTTCAGAATCGAATCTGAAATTTCACCAAGATCGTAGAAGGTAATTTTTTGTGTCATTTTTAAGGTATTCAAAGAATCTTTGAAGGGACATGAAACATATTATTTTCTTGAAATTTTATTTATAAGGACGCCCCTAGCCATAGAGTCTGTGAGGATGGGGCCACTACANGCAGTCATCACATGNGTNANCGGGCGATTTAATTTGAATAGACAATATCATTGTACACTGCCACGTCAAAATGTATATCGTAAATTCAAAAAAAAAATCCCAAAAATCTCTTGTGATGACTGCATGTAAAGGACCCATCATCTATGACTCTATGGCTAGGATCATCCTTATTGATTTTTGATTTATACAGGTTGTGGGACATTGTTGTTCAAAGAAGGTCCTGATTATACAGGTGTGCGATTTTTACCCATAACTAAGAAGGTCTTCAAAAAATGACACCGAAATTAGCGCTATCTATTCAAATGCCAAGTATCTTTCCCATGGGCAATGTAGCCTATGACATTAAATTGACAGTATGAACCTCAGGGTCATAAACCGATCATAACCTGACTGCTTTATTCTCCCTCCTACCGTAAAACCTGTGTTAGAAGGGCCAACTCTTCTGTTGTTCCTGGTGCTTCTATTTAAACTTCTATTAAATT